AATGCTTTTTTCCCTCACTGTATGGTCGTGCACGCATCATAAATAAATAAATAGCGCAAAACAATCGCACTAAATCGCTAATTAAACTTATTAAAAGTTGACGGATGTGAAAAAGGAATAGCGCTTGCTCACGGCGGGACTTACAGCGTGGTACCTGGCTATTTATAGTTAACCAACACCCCACCGTTGGAGAGCCAAACATCCCGCAATGTCACTACACCATTCCTGTTATTTAATATTAAACGATTGGCATTAACCAATGTTTTATGATGGTTCATCTAAGTGACACGAATTTTATCCCCGACTACTATTGTTGTGTACTAAATACACACTTTAGGTGGAGAGGGCACAAATCTCATTCTTGTCGCCACAAGGTAACCCACACACATTTGCAGCTCCCTTTAAAAATGTATTAGCCTTTGCTGTTTACTCATTACCATTACTGTTCTTTATTAAATGATAGGGATTTACCAATGTTTTATGATAGTAATGTAAGTAACACGATTTTTCTCCCCGAATACTAAGCGCTACTTTAAAATTGTTATATATAAAATGGCTATGATTGCGACCATGTATTTAATGGGAGGGAATCACACTTATGCACACGTTTTCTCTTTGAAAATAGATACATTTCTAAATGTCACTGTCCTGCTCACAAAAAATAACGTAGTTAATATAAAAGTAATCGTGTGTGTGTATGTCGATGTGTGCATGTGAGTCCACGTGTGTGTGTGGTGTGTGTGTGGCTCCATGTGTGTGTGTGCGTCAATGTGTGTATGTGCGACAAAACAACCCCTACCTCCTCGCGGTGCCGGACGGGCAACTCTGTTGTGGACAGTGCTGTGGGGAGAGGGCCAATTCAGATTGGCTCCTCCCCTTATGGCGTCTGTGACCACCACAGTGGCTAAACGGGGGCTCTGGACGGGTGCGAGGGGCTGGTAACCCCTCCACGTTCAAAAATGTGCCACTAAACCACGACTGAAATATATAACTAATAAACTTGTGCCGGAGGCCCCGGGGGGACAGGCGTCTATGACGTCTCCTGGCCAAACCCTAATTGGCGGAGCCAGGGGATTTAATCTCTACCCTCGGGGCTCCTCCAGAAACAATAAAAAGCCACTTCGTGTGGCCACGTTGAATGTTCGAACGCTCACTGCGGAGGAGAGGCTGCCACTCCTCTGTTGGGAGCTGGACCGGTACCGCCTGGATCTCTGTGGCATTCAGGAGGTCCGTTGGACCGGTTCTGGCTCCTGCCACCATGAGGGGTGGACAGTCCTCTGGGACAGCAGACTGCCAAACAACAGGGTGTGGCTCTTCTTTTGAACAAAAGAATGAAGGGGGCGTGGGAGCGTGGCGGTGAGGTGTGGGAAGCTGTAAGCCCCAGGCTACTCTGGGCTCGCCTTCCCATCAACCGGAGGCGAGGAGTGGTGGTCGTGGTTACTTATGCCCCCACCGAAGACGAACATCCGTGGAGGGATGCAGGCAAAGCCGATGAGTCAGATGCCTTCTATGACCTCCTGTCACAGGTGCTGGCTAAAGTGGCCCCTCAGGATAGAATCATCTTACTCTTTGGTTTTATTCGGTAAAGTCACGTACATAAATTAAAACAAAATAAAAGAAAATCACGACGTTTCGGAGGCAACACAAGCTTCGTCTTCAGGTGGAAAAGTCTGACTTTTCCACCTGAAGACGTGATTTTATTTTATTTTGTTTTAATTTATCTACGTGACTTTACCGAATAAAACCAAAGAGTATGAATTCTTGCAGTCACGAAAGCTTCAAATCTAGAATTAGAGTCATCTTGTTGGGTGACTTCAATGCCCGAGTTGGTCATGATGCTGGCACCTGGTCTGGAGTGATTGGAGGGCATGGGCCAGATCAGCTCAATAACAACGGTAGGAGGTTGCTAGATTTTTGTGCAGCCCATGGGCTTGTAATTACCAACACGCTGTTTCGGCATCGGCGCATCCACACAACATCATGGATGCATGCCGGGTCCAAGCAAGAACATCTGCTGCACTACATAGTGACGGACCAGCGGATGCGAGCACATGTCCTTGACACCAGGACCTACCGTGGAGCTGATCTGCCCTCTGACCACCGACTAGTCATCTGTAAGATGCGCCTGCCATTCTTCCATTCCGGTGGTGGGTGTACACCCAGGACCCCATTCCAAACTAAAGTGGCCTGGTCTCAGTTATCTGATGAAAGTTGCAAGCGAGAATTTCATCATTGCTTGTGGCTGGGGTTGGCATCGTCCCCCACTCCTCCTGATGTCGAGGGTAAATGGGCGAGGTTTAGGACTGTGACTCATGCAGCTGCAGTGGCTGCTTTGAGTACGCGGTCCAGACCTCCACAGAGACCCTGGCTGACAGAGGAGGTGTTCAGGATGGTTGAGAAAAAGCGACAGGCCCACTGTCATCGGCTACAGAATCCCACGTCAGAGAATAAGGAGGCTTACCGCAGCCTTCGCTCGAAGGTTTGGAGAGCCGTGAGGCGCTGCAAGGATGGGTGGTGGTCGCGGGTTGCTGAGGAGATGGAGTCTGCCTCAGTGGCCCGCGATCACAAATCTCTATTTAACTCCATCAAAAAAGTAACCTGCAGCGCCACACCTATTACCATCATTAGGGAAAAAAACGGTGATCCAATCTCTGACCCCCAGGAACAGGTTTGCAGATTTGCTGAGCATTTCTGTGAGGTCCTGGGGGAGGGGAAATCCCTCAGCCAGGAAAACATCGTGGCACAAAGTGGGGATGATCCTGCTGAGGCTGCAGTGCCTCAAATATTGGAAGAAGTCACCCCCTGTGAGTGGCTGGCTGAGGTGCCATCTGTTGAGGAAGTACTGAAGGCGATCCGGTGTCTGAGACCAGGAAAGGCACCGGGTAGAGATGATCTCCCAAGCGAAATGCTGAGGGAGGGTGGCGTTTGTGCACAGACTACCCTATATGACATCATAACAACAGTCTGGACCACTGGACGGGTTCTGCAGGATTTGAAGGATGCCCTGGTGGTCCCCCTCTTTAAGAAGGGAGACCGGACAGACTGTAACAACTACAGGGGCATCTCACTCCTCAGTGTGCCGGGAAAGGTCCTGGCAAGGATTATTCAACATCGCCTTGCCAGGCACGCTGAGGAGAGGCTTGCGGAGCCCCAATGAGGCCACGTGAAGCGGTGACCTTGATTCTAAACCTGGAGGGGGGGGGGAACGCATCACAAAAAGGCGACGCGTGAATACAGTTTCCACGGTCGTGACCACTGGCGATCGTCTCAATTGCCGCGGGTAAATTCTTTGTATTTTTATTTTATTCACGTTTCAACTGTTGGTGCGTTTGGGACACTTCTGGAAAATGTATCGCCGCTCGTATGCCCCCGGCATGCTCGGCCCGTGCCCCGGCCTGAGAGGCCTCCCCCCGCATCGTTGTTGTCGTTGTTGTCATCGTTGTTGTTGTCGTCGTTGTCGTCATCGTCGTTGTTGTCGTCGTTGTCCTCGTCGTCGCCGCATGAGCGTGCTTGTGACCACGGCTGTCTGGATTGTTTTTGTCACTGTAATTTGTGTCCGCATTGTGCTCGCATTTTGCTCGCTTCTTGTAAACGCGCGGTCAACAAACATTCCATCAGCCCTGTTCCCCCCCTTTGGTCACCCTGTGAATACAAAAAATGAATTGTATTTTCTTGCTATTTTTGGGTTTGTTTCCCCCCCTTCCCCCCGACGGCAATATTCCGATTGCGATGTGAGCACTGTGCTCGTGAGATGGAGAACCCACTCGGAAATCTCGCAGAGCGCAGCCGTTGCGCCCGGGAAATGCTGCAGAATTCCCAGACAATTCCCAGGTATTTCCCAAAGAATTCAATACGTGATCCGGGAACAAAATTCAGATTTCCAGGGCCATTTCAGTGGGGATATCTTACTCCTTTAATGCCACCGCCGCCACGTAATGGTCAGCACACTGTATTTTCAAGGCAGAGGTCGCGGTTTGGATCTCCAGGCGTGGCAGCTGAAACGATGGGAGCAGGCTCCATAAATCCCCTCCCGCCTCTGTCCACCCAGGCAACATAAATGGGTACGGTTGGTCGGCAGGGTCGCGTATGGTGGGGTAAAGTGTGGGGGGAACTCCCTCCTCTTCCAAGACGTCTGGCCAGCATGGAATCGTTGGCCAAAAATACCCTCCAGAGAGAAACTCGAGGGGTCCCATGAGTGGAACCCTTTCCGCCAGCAGTGGCGTGAGCAAGATTTGCAGGGCTGCGCCTCTACCTGAAGTGAAACCATTTATTTGGTGATGCTGCTGCTGCTGTGGTGCACAAGCAGAAATAGCGAGACCACTTTAACATGTTCGTCAGTCACATCTGGCGTAAACATTAGCAAGCAGTGGTGTCTACAAACATTTTTTGGCACGTGTCGTGACGGGTACAGCAAGATCCAACCGTGTCCATCCAGTGCTCGCCGAGCTGCATTGGTTTCTGGTTGCCGAACGAATACATTGTTATAAGGTCGCATTCAATGCACACAAAGTGCTTGCCAATAATGAACCACAATACCTTGCTGATCTCGTCAAGGAGCATAAATCATCACGCGAACTCCAGTCATCCACAGTGTAGTTGACAAGTGTGTTGGGTTTCTGTACCTGATAATACATTTTCACATTGCAGTAAAACCGGTATTGTTAATTTTCAGAGCGGGAATGTAGACCAGTGCTGAGCAAAAACAAATTAAAAAGCCATCTGCGCAGCCATTGGTGGCCGGAATGAGGTACTTTTACTCGGCTGCATTCGAGAATTCCGTTGAATCACTAGGGCCAAGGCCTCACCAGCGGTGCCAGCACAGTTCTCTCTCTCTCTCTCTGATCCCTGAACTGCTTGGCAAGCTCAGCATTAAAATGTAATTGTTTTTTGAGGACATGTGATCTGAAGGATGCTGGAAAGTGAAAAGCAATACGTAATTGGCTGAGAATATCGGCCGCAGGTTTTATTGATTCTCGTTTTTGTTAATTTACCGTTTGCAGAACAGCAGCAAAGAAATCATTGGTGTGGTGCCGCCGTGCCAAAGTGGCGATGATTCCAAAAGGTAAAACGCGCACGCGACGCAAAGTAAACCTGAAGCTCGGTGAAATTCCTGGAAAAAAAAAATTAACAACCGCCATTAATTATTAAAGCAGATCATTACGAGCAGATTCATATATAAGATTAATTTCATCGCCATTCGCTCCGTGTTAAACCCGGCAGGTTTAGCACGCTTCCAAACATTTTCACAAGCGATGTTTTTTGGTCTCATCGGCGAGAGCAGCTCACTCAAGGCGTGCAAACTCGTAAAAACTGAGCCGGCTCAAATAAACAGCACTTCCGCTAAGTTACAGTCTCTGCTCGAGTTAACCCTCACGGTAAAGGATCGGTGATTTTGAAATCGATAGATACAGCAGGCATCTGCTCCCTTCATCGAGAGTGAGCATAAGCCCGTTGGTTCAGCCATGTGGCCTTTTTGCTTTCACTGTTGCCAGCGTGAGCACCCTTAGCTGAGAACTCACTGCTGGATGAATCCACGCCACCACGTCAATCGTGCGGTCTGTTTGGCAAAAACTTCACCGCGCCGGTCAGCGCAGGGCAGTAAAAAGCGGGATTCCAAAACCCCGGGTCGTATATCTCTCGCAAAGAGATGTTTACTGTAAATTTCAACACCGAGTACAAGCTAATATAAGGAACAAAACGTTAGTGGCCAGCAACAAATATCGCTTACCAAAGTTGTAATAGATGAGGAGTGTCACATTTCTTTAATTGAGCCATGGTTATTCCAGTCTTTTATAAAAGTATGGGAATAGATGCGATGACGATGATAATGAGGGGAAAGGGAATTCCCAAGTGGAGCAGTGCGAGAGAAGAAGCAGAAAGAGAAGCGTTGGGAAATGCAGATTGGTGGTGAGTGGGTGGGTGAGTAGCAGGGATGTGCGGTCAGGGGAGGCAGGGGGAGGCAGAGCCTCACCATACTCCAATGAAAATAGCTGTTACAAAAAGTAAAAAAAAAGAATAATCAAATAAAATAAATATTAAGATTTTGCCACTGATGTGTGTTATAAATGTCATTTCTGTACGATTCCAATCATTTTTATAGTCAAAATCGCCAAATTTTCGGAGCTCCGCTGCAAATACAGGAAGAGACGAGAGGTGAGGCAGCGACGAGCTCAGCCTCCCCTCTGATTGCACAACCCCTCAGTAACTGGATGGAGCGCGGGCAATAAGCGCGAGCCTCTTACTATCTCTCTGTGTGTCAGCAATGTAATGTTTGTAGACCCCTTCATTTCATGTCCTCACCTTCCATACTCCAGGTAACTTATTTCACGTATGTGTATGAAGATATTTAGGCTCGCTGGTCTCGTCATGAAACTGCAATGAAAAAGCACCAGGGGAGGCAGCTATCACATCTGCCTCACTGAGGGGGACGTGTCTAACATGCTCCCCTCAGTGAGGCCACGCCCCCTCAGTGAGGCCACACACCCCTCAGTGTGTGAATCTGGCTCTGACACCAGCCAGTGCCTCCCCAGCCATTGACCTCACCGCACGTCACTGGTGAGTAGGTGGGTGAATGGGTGGGTGAGTGGGTGAGTGGGTGGGTGAGTGAGTGGGTGGGTGAGTGAGTGGGGAGCGGTAGCGTGGTTGCGCTACGAACCCGGCGACCCGAGGTCGATTCACGCTCACGGCCAACACCAGTGACAAATGATCATAATAGGTCCTGGGCTTCCCCTAGTTCGACTCGGCCTCAATTGAGTGTGTAGTAAAATCGCTACTGAGGAGACAAAGGCGGCTGGCCGTGATTCTGGCCACGCACCCTCTCGTGTGCCATGTCGGCCTTCATAGGTGCTCGCTAACAGGACTTGCTCCAACAGTCTGTTCAGGCTATAATAGGGGGTGTCTTTGTGAGTGAGTGCGTGGGTGTGTAAGTGGATGGGTGAGTGGATAAGTGTGTGAGAGGCTGGGTGGGTGAGTCAATGGGTGGATGGATGAGTGTGCGAATAGGTGGGTGGGTGAGTGAGTGTTTGTGTGGGTGTGTGAGTGGGTAGGTTGGGAGGTCTGTGAGTGAGTGTGTTATTGTGCCCTGCAGTGTGTGGTGGTGGTTGTGATTAAGACGAACCAGCGAGCCTGCTCAGTATGTGGGTGGAGGAACCAACGAGTGAAGTTCACGGGAACAGTAACCATGGCGCTAGCGGTAGAAGAGTCATGACGAGGTGACTGACTGCTGGTGAGCGAGTGACCAGGAATGGAACATTGTTCTTCAGGTCGTCGTGCGGTGCCGTACTAACCTGCACGACCCCTCGCTCGCTCACTCCACCACCACCCTCCCACATTGCAATCTTCCAGCTGAAATTGAAGACTATCCGACGACTCAAATCGCCCTAGGACGAAATCGTTGGCGGTGTTACGTAGAGCAGCTGAGCAGAGTTCGCAGTGCAGATGCAAGCAACGTGTATTCACGTACACACACGTACACGCACGTACACGCACGTACACGCACGGACGCATACACAAATGCGCGCACACGCACATGTACACATGCACGTGCACGCACGTAAGCGCGCAGGTGGGGCTGGTGGCTCCAGGGGGTTTCATTCCGCGTCGGGGAACTCGGCTAGAACCACCACCGAGATCACGAATTACAGCTGCGAAATAAATAAATGAATGCGAAATAAATAAATTAATTCCACGTTCGCGCATGCCTCGTGATGAACGTTAACCCGCGTGTGGGTGCGGAGCCTCGCGGGATTTCAAAAGCGAAGGAAGCTTGACTCTAGTTAATACCTGGGAGGGAGACTGCTCGGCGTTCCCAGGTGTTACAGGCTACCAGGCGTTAACGGTTGCCATCCACAATTACGAAGCTTTCATTGGGGTAGATCGCCGTGTAGGTAATGTGTCAATTTTTTTTCACGACACACAGCCCTCCACCACCTGACAGAGCCGATCAAACCGACTCGTAACCGTCGCGGGCAAACGCGCCGATCAATTTGGTTTACGAGAAAACCGGAGGTGGGGGAGAAATGTCAAGAAGCAACATTTGGACAACGCTTGCACGAGCGATGCTCCACCGGAGACCGATGTCCGGCACTATCGTCCAGTGTTCACAAAAGCTCGGTTCTTGCGTGGAAGAGGCTTCCCGATCCGGCTCCTTACGTCGGTGTCACGACATCGTCAGGAACGTGTGCGTGTGAACCCGTTTAATGCTTGGAGTTGATTGCTACAGGATCGGTAGCTGCTATGAAGTGGCCAGGAGATGGGCGAACTACAATGGGTTTGTTTAATAATAAAGAGGAGGATGGGAGGGAGGGGTGGAAAATGTGCCACCTCAAATTAAAAAGCAATAAAAGATTGTAACACAACAATCCTTTAGACAATGGTCTAAGGGCAACAGAAGAGATTATTGCAATAAATTGGAGGATTGATGCTCATTGTGTAGATTACAGCTGGAGAAAACTTTCAAAGCAAGCTAGCCTCCTACTCCTGACATCTTCTGATCGTTTCCGAATGCACATAATAAGCCCTGTTCACTACTCACAGGAGTATAAGATGCTGTGACTCGAAGCGACATAGGGGGGCTTTGACTTCAGTAAATGAAAATATCAGCCATGGTCAATCCACTGCTGGACGAATGCCTCTGCAAGCCATCGCCATCTCTCGCGGCCTTGCAGTGCAACAATCTGTCTGGCGCCTGCAGTGCGTGGGCCGGTCAAGTCACTCCATCTCCGCAGCGGACGTGCTCTGGGGCGTGTTTCCATCTTTGGCTATCACTCCGTCGTTGGTCCTCAGTCGGTATGACGTCTATCACTTGCGTATGTTCTCTACTCCATGCGTTCCACTTCCAGCCTTTCAGTGTACGGTGGCAGGTGCCACGATTGCAAAATATTAACTACCTCGCCTGGTGTGCAGGACACATGGGTTCGATCCCGACCCTGACGCCTGCTGTATATTTGGAGTTTACATGTCTTTCTCTCCCCGTAGTTGTGTGGATTTTTCTCCGGGTCATCCAGCTTTTTTTCCCTGCCATATTTAGAAACATGCGTTCAGAGTATTTGGCTGCTAGAAATGTAAACGTGATAAGCCACTTCCTTGAGCTATCATTTGTGATAGACAGGTCGCTTCTAAAAAACAGCTATAGAGCTCAGTCGGCCTTACCTGGTAAAACAAAAAAAATTGTTTCATGTAATTTCAGGCACGCACCTCTCCACACTTCTTTGCGCACTCTCCTTTTTTTGTTCCATGTTCATCACCAGTGTCCATATTTCTAATGCGTGCATGCACACGAGAATGTGCATTCGCAGACTGTCAGCATTTACACTCAAATTACTCCTTGTTTCCGCGACGTAGAGCACAGATAAGCACAGATAACGAGGATGAATCTCCCGGGACGCTACTCTTACCGTGCGTCCCCGTTAATTCTTCGTCGTCTGCGCATTGTCTCTGGTTTCCAATCAGTTCCTGACCGAGTGATTATCTTTTGTTATGGCTCAAACGCCGTCGTGTTGTGGCACCTCAAATGTACCGAGTGAGAGGTGTGGAATAAATAATAAAGTAACAGTCAAAAGTCACAGGGGTTTTCCTGCTCCGGTGAGCATTGAGGCACTGGTGCTCATCTCTGAGCTGGTGGTGTAATCTCCACAGTCCTACTGCAGGGGCGAGTCGAGCCATAGAACTAGCACTGGTTGATTCTTCCCCACAAAGTGGTACTTTTTTAATCGACCCCGGAGGGATGTATGTACAGTATGCTGAAGTGCTTTCGCACCATGCTAATCGGAGGTGCGGGTGATGGGACGAGTCAACCCCCCAGCCAGGAGTTGAACTCACAACCTTCCGACTGCGAGACGTTCACTCTACCGCTGAGCCACCCGAGCCGCGATTAACGATGATGGATGATGATGAAAAGTGCAGACAATAGGAAGAGGTGTTGTGTGTAGTATATGTTGAACTTCTTTCGCACCGTACGAAGCCAACCATGCTAATCGGAGGTGCGGGGGAAGGACATCCCAAATTAACACAACACGCAGTTCTAAAGAAATGAGCTTTAAATCTCGATGATTTAAAAGTGGATAGCTCCAGTGGCTAGGGGGCACGGCCAATCGGAAGAGTGCGTGGCCAGCACGGTGCGCGGAGATCCTTTGGGCCCGTGTGGTTTTTCGGCCGAGTTTGTCGTCCCGTGCGGAGCCGCCCGACGGAGGCAGTGGCACGGCGCTGATGCGCAAATGAGACGGTCGCGTGCGTCTCTCGCCACGAGTCGCCGCCACGAGTTCCCCCCAAGTAAACACAAATTACAAACCGACGTCCTTCACACCACGCAGCAGCAGCAGCGATGGCAGCAGCAGCCGGCGGTTGTTCCACGTATTTCATTCCTCCTGCGCCCTGGCACAGTTTTGGTTTTGTGCGTGGCGTCTATTCAACTTCCAGAGGTCCCGTTAATTTTAAATTCTGTTTGACTCGTTTTTTTTATGTGTTTGAGATATTTTTGGAACTGGAAGTCTCTGCTTGCACGCCCCGGTCGTGCTTTGCCCGTTGCGGTTCTCCTCTGCAGCGGTTCCATGGTTTGCCTTTCCATTCTGTGCTCGCGATTGAAGGATCTGTTATTTTATTTTGGTTTGTTGGTACGGGCTCGATTTGTCCTGTCGATCTAGTTTGCAACTTCTGTTTACTTGGTTGCGTCTTGTTCGCCCATTAGCCAAAAGGTATTTTAGAGCACGTTGTAAATAATATATTCCTACGCTGGATGTACCGTGAGCAAAATAATTGATTTCAATAAATGAATCATTACATGTGTTTAGAAAAAAACCTCTATATGAAGTTCTTGTGCATAGTTAACGTCTTATGGCGATTAACTCAAGTCCCGTTTAGGATGTTCGTGGTTTGTGGCCCCATACATCCCCTTAAGAACTGTGTGACCTCAGGACGCAGGTGTTATGGGACGCAGGCCTTCTCTGCCTTCCCAGGCTGAGGCTTCGATTGATGGGCGACCGAGCTGTTCCCCCTGCGGGCCCCCAGCCTAAATTTAAAACTAAAAAACGAAAAATATATATTTATTTTACCAGGTAAGGCCCACAGGGCTATGTAGCTCTTTTTCAAAAGCGACCTGGCCACAAATGGACTGGTTATGTGGAAATTTATAGCAGCCAAATACTTTAAACGCATCTTTCTAAATGTGGAGGAAAACTGGAGGACTGAGAGAAAAATGCACTCGATCACAGGGAGAATATGCAAACTCCAAATATACAGCAGGCATCAGGGTCGGGATCGAACCCACGACCTGTATACCAGGCGAGGTAGTTAACATCTCCTAGCCACCGCGGTGTCCCATTCATGCTAATAGCATCCCATAGAGCCATACATTAATTATATATAAGTACCAAATCCTATATGCAGCCACTACCAAGCAAATTAATAATATACTACCAAGCAACATCTAAAGTGAATAAACAAATTAAGAAATGGTACCAAAATAAAACCCACAAACAACAAAAAAGTGATGATAACAAATGAGGTCTGCTACACACATCCTAGAGCACAATCCCAACTTTCAAACTTCACAGTAGGAGCAGTGGGGTGCCAAATCGTTTTATATCAATTGGAGTGATGAAACTAGCTCGGGTGCCGATGGATTGCTGCATTGCAGGACTGTGACAGATAGCGAGGACGTGGGGATGTCGTCATTCAGCAGCAGATAGATCATGGCTGATGACATTTTTTACACAATTTGTTCTGTTCAGAATCAACAATAATGCCGTTTGACAAGTATCAATATGATCACGAGTCAATGAATGAGTGAATTAATGACTAAATGAATGAACCATATCTTCTCAACATTTGCCAGCCATAAAGGTGACATTTCATCTTTCAGTGCGCCTGGTAAATTCATCGCAGTGCTATCCCGTCTGAATGCCTCGTAACATTTTCCCTCGCGTAACTGACAAGGGGGCACTTGGCAGTCGACGGGTCACCAGAACAATCTGTCATCCACGTCCGTGGTGCCCACTCAGCGCTGTGCCATCGCCGCTGCCTTTTTGTCTCCCGCAGATCGCTCGTGAGCAATGATCCACGGGGAAGCCCAAGCGGGCCGTGCGGTGTCCTCATCGCGAGGATCGTCAGCGACACACGGCCACCGCGGCCGAGCCGCGGCCCCCGGTCTCCCCGCCAGCCGCGGCAGGCGGCACGAGGTCCAGAGCACGGCGTGCGACAGTCGGCTGGAGGGGCGACCTGAAGCGACGTGGCGATAGTGTCGAACGAGACCGCAGGAGGTAAACGCCCTCCTTCCTTCAGTGAGAGACGACCCAAGCTTTTGCCACGAAATTTACTGCCCGACACGGCGCTCGGGCGCTGGCATGTTATTGCGCGTCACCGTCCCTCGGTGTACACAGGTGCAATAAACTGATACACATTGTCCTCTGTTTAGATTATAAAGGGCTATAAAAAGGAAATAAGACTGATGATTTGCGTGCCGTGCACGATGCGTACACAGAAGGCCGTCGCGCCTGCGACGTCCACACTTGGAGTCCCCGCGGCATGACTCGTTCGCGCAGCGCGCCCCACTACACACGCCGAGAGCCTGGTTATGCCACGGATTGCCAGCATGGACAAGATTAGAGCCATGGAGCAATGGCGGATGCCGGCTATTTACTGCTGTCCGCTCTCGCAAACAATGCGAGTGTGCCGGCCAGGGGTCGCTTTGCCACGACACATGGCGGCGGTGCCGCGACGGCAGCAGGGCCGGTGATGGCGGCAGTGCCCTGGGAGCCACGGCACCTCCTGCGCGACGGCACCGCGGCCGCCGACCCGGGCAACCGCGCCAGCGCCCTGAACTCCTCCGTGCAGACGCTGATCGCGGGGCTGCTGTCCGAGCAGAGCGTGCCACCCTGGGGCAACGCCACGGTGCCGGCCTCCACCGCTTCGGCTCCGACGCCGACCCCGGTGCCGGGCGGGGGCGCCCAGAACTGCAGCGCCGGCGGCGGCGTTGGCGCCGGCAGTGGCGGCACCGGCGGCGGCGGCAACTGCACGGTGCTGTCGCCGGGCCTGGCCTGCGCCACCGCGGCGGCTGTGGCGGGGCCCGACGGAGCCGAGCTCAACTGGCCGGCGCTGCTCTTCCTCCTGGTGGTCGTGCTGACGGTGGGCGGCAACCTGCTGGTCATCCTGGCCGTGTGGCTCGAGAAGAAGCTGCAGACGGCGACCAACTACTTTCTCATGTCGCTGGCGGTGGCCGACCTGCTGGTGGGGCTGACCGTGATGCCCATCTCCGTGATTAACATCCTCTACAGTGAGTTGTCTGCTCGCCGCACGCACACACGTGCGTGTGCGTGAACACGTGCGTCCGTGAACACGTGGGTAAGTGCCTGAAAACATGTGCGTACGTGCGTGTGTGAACACGTGCGTGCATTTGTGAACACGTGTGAAAATGTGCGTGCATTTGTGAACACGTGTGTGAACACATGCGTGCATTGTGAACGCGTGCCTTTATTTGTGAACGCGTGCGTGCATTTGTGAACGCGTGCGTGCGTGTGTACACAGTAACTTTCCCACTAGCCACGTGTGTCTGCCAGGCCCGTTGATGTTGCTTACAAGTGCGTAGTAAATAAAAAAAGTGTGTTCACAACAAAGTAACATAACAAATTATCTATTTTAAGAGCCATTCTTTGTAATGGTGGTTTCTTCAAAGTTTTTAGAACTTGTTCAGTGAGGGAAAAAAAGTATTTGATCCCTTGCTGATTTTGTACGTTTGCCCATTGACAAAGAAATGATCAGTCTATAATTTTAATGGTAGGTTTATTTGAACAGTGAGAGACAGAATAACAACAAAAAAATCCAGAAAAAAGCATGTCAAAAATGTTATAAATTGATTTGTATTTTAATGAGGGAAATAAGTATTTGATCCCCTCTCAATCAGAAAGATTTCTGGCTCCCAGGTGTCTTTGATACAGGTAACGAGCTGAGATTAGGAGCACACTCTTAAAGGGAGTGCTCCTAATCTCGGCTTGTTACCTGTGTAGTGGTCGACTTCACGCCGACAACTTTATTCTTTCTCTGACACCACTTTAATTACAACTCTCCACATTACGTCGATAACTTCACAGTTCCTCTGTTGCCGCAGCTCGCTCGCTCCGCTTCCTCCCCTGTCTCCCACTGTCTCTCTCCGTCGCTTGCTGTCTCTGTCTCTCTCCCACTCTGCATCGCTGTTTCCGTCTCTCACTCTGTCTCTCTCTGTCTCACTCCATCTATCTTTCCCTGTCTCTCTCTGTACTCTCTCTGTGTCCATGTCTCTCTCTGTCTCCCTCTGTCTCTCTATGACTCACTCTGGTTATCTCTCCCTGTCTCTCTCTGTACCGTCTCCGTATCTATGTCTCTCTCTGTCTCCCTCTGTCTCACTCTGTCTCTCTGTCTCACTCTGTTTATCTCTCCCTGTCTCTCTCCGTACCCTCTCCGTATCTATGCCTCTCTCTGTCTCCCTCTGTCTCACTCTGTCTCTGCTTCTCTCTATCACTCTCAGTTGCTCCTTGTCTCTGCTTGTATCTATCCCTCTCAGTCACTCCTTGTCTCTGCTTGTCTCTGCTCCACTGCTAGCTGTTCTGTCTCCTATATCTTCTCCCCGTTTCTCTCACACCTGAGTCGTTCCAGTCCAAACCACAACTCCCCCCGTTCTTCCCGTCTCCCGAATATATCCCCGTTCTCATAACCAACTAATTAAGTAGGCAGCGTGCCACCGACGCCCCGCGTCCCCCCGCACCTGTTACTTGACCCCTCTATTCCCAGACATCCCGGCGCCACTCCGCCCTTGACAACAACCCCAGCCAATCACAGCCGTACATCGCTCTCCAGCTTAATTGGCCCGTCATTACCGCACAGTTTCCCGCCGCCACACCTGGCCGGCCCGACGTAACCACACTGTCCATAACTCGCGTGTCTTTACCATTTCCCCCTGTATGCGCGTGTTAATCCACTACACCTGTATAAAAACACCTGTCCACAGAAGCAATCAATCAGATTCCAAACTCTCCACCATGGCCAAGACCAAAGAGCTCTCCAAGGATGTCAGGGACAAGATTGTAGACCTACACAAGGCTGGAATGGGCTACAAGACCATTTCCAAGCAGCTTGTTTCCCTTCTTCGTGACTTTACCGAAAGAACCAAGAATAAGGTGACAACAGTTGGTGCGATTATTTGCAAATGGAAGAAACACAAAAGAACTGTCAATCACCCTCGGCCTGGGGCTCCATGCAAGATCTCACCTCGTGGAGTTGCAATGATCATGAGAATGGTGAGGAATCAGCCCAGAACTACACGGGAGGATCTTGTCAATGATCTCAAGGCAGCTGGGACCATAATCACCAAGAAAACAATTGGTAACACACTACGCCGTGAAGGACTGAAATCCTGCAGCGCCCGCAAGGTCCCCCTGCTCAAGAAAGCACATATACATGCTGGTCTGAAGTTTGCCAATGAACATCTGAATGATTCCGAGGACAACTGGGTGAAAGTGTTGTGGTCAGAAGAGACCAAAATGGAGCTCTTTGGCATCAACTCAACTTGCCGTGTTTGGAGGAGGAGGAATGCTGCCTATGACCCCAAGAACACCATCCCCACCGTCAAACATGGAAGTGGAAACATTATGCTTTGGGGGTGTTTTTCTGCTAAGGGGACAGGACAACTTCACCGCATCAAAGGGACGATGGACGGGCCCATGTACCATCAAATATTGGGTGAGAACCTCCTTCCCTCAGCCAGGGCATTGAAAATGGGTCGTGGATGGGTATTTCAGCATGACAATGACCCAAAACACACGGCCAAGGCAACAAAGGAGTGGCTTAAGAAGAAGCACATTAAGGTCCTGGAGTGGCCTAGCCAATCTCCAGACCTTAATCCCATAGAAAATCTGTGGAGGGAGCTGAAGGTTCGAGTTGCCAAACGTCAGCCTCGAAACTTTAATGACTTGGAGAAGATCTGCAAAGAGGAGTGGGACAAAATCCCTCCTGAGATGTGTGCAAACCTGGTGGCCAACTACAAGAAACATCTGACCTCTGTGATTGCCAACAAGGGTTTTGCCACCAAGTACTAAGTCATGTTTTGCAGAGGGGTCAAATATTTATTTCCCTCATTACAATGCAAATCAATTTATAACATTTTTGACATGCGATTTTCCGGATTTTGTTGTTATTCTGTCTCTCACTGTTCAAATAAACCTACCATTAAAATTATAGATTGATAATTTCTTTGTCAGTGGGCAAACATACAAAATCAGCAGGGGATCAAATACTTTTTTCCCTCACTGTAGTTTGTAAGTGGCGGGGTGGCTCAGATTTCTTTACCCATGGTGGGATGTTTACTGCCTTTCCTGGTATACAAGAGGTCGTGGGTTTGATCCCGACCTTGACGCCTGCTGTTTATTGGGTGTTTGTGTTCTCCCCGTGGTCGCATGGGTTTTTTCCAGGTCCACTGTTTTTTTCCTCCACATTTAGAATCATCACGTTTTCAGAGTATTTGGTTGCTGCGATATATTTCCACGTGATAAGCCACTTACACAAAAAGACCACCGCATCTGTGAAAATGTGAATACCAGGTTGACTGTCGTGCCATGAACATTGCTGTCTGTAACAAAGCAAGTGGAAAAGTGCTGCCCCCTACGTTGTGAACTTAGAGGTCGCCTAGAATTTCAGAGGTAGTTCCGTTATATCCCCTTTCCAGGAGCCATTGTCAAACATGGAAGGGTCGCACTGCTCTTGTGAGAAATCAAAATGGATTCTTCATCTCGTGACAGGACACTGAGAGAACAATCGAGATCACGTTAGGGAGAGAGACAATTACAAGTTTTGTTATTCACAAGTAGCACTAGATTCAGGCTTGCGCCAGTGGGGATTGCAATGACAGAACTCATTAATTTTCTCCACGGTTCTTAAGTACTGAGGTCCTGGCAGTAAAGCCGGAGGCTGTACGGCACTGGGCCAGGCCACCCATCCTCAAACTGCGACAAAATTAAATAGAACTACATCTGGGCTGGCACGATGCCGGTCAAGAGGCTGCACGACATGGCCGGACAGGTTAACAGTGACTTGTTTTATTTTGATTATGACTTTAAAAAAATAATACTCAGAAATTCCTTTTGGTTTGTTGACATTCCAGATGTCACGGCGTGCCACGCTGGCTATGAGATGTTAACTACCTCGCCTGGTATGCAGGACCGTGGGTTTGATCCTGACCCTGACACCTGTACATTTCGAGTTTGCATGTTCTCTCTTCCTGTGGTGTGGTTTTCCCTCCACATTAAGAATCAACGTGTCTTTGGCTGATATACATTTCCACGTGATAAACTACTTATTGAGCTATCATTTGTGGCCAGATCACTTCGAAAAAATGGCGATATAGCTCAGTGAATCTTACCTGGTAAAACAAAAACAAAAAAGAGTTTATTGTAAAAATAGTTTAAGTCCTACATGCTGAAGTGCACTCTCCAATTTTCACGTAAGCCACTCCACCGATGTGGACACAAATTAGCGGTAATTGCTGCCACATGTTGTGAGCTGGAGGCAGGAGGCCCTTTGTAAAGTCTGTGGCTATTCTGAGTGCCTTAACTTAGGGGGGATTTCATTGTCTCTTTTACAAGGGATCTGAAAAAGCTACTTGCAAAACTCAACTCGAGTGAGGACACGGGGGCTGTGACAGAACTCGTTAATGTCCAGTGATCGTTCCAGAGTTGCAGAAAATGCATTGGCACTGGTGAAGCGTTGCCTAAAGCGGAGGAGGCCCCGGTGGCTCGTGGGCAAGAGTGTTCAGTCGCTGCTGCTGAGGTCCAGGGCATGAGACCAAGTTGCAGTCGCCTGCGATTGAAACCGGCTTCTGCGGCTTTTAGCGAGTTTATTTTTTGCGCACACCAGAATAAAAAATGTCCGTCGTATGAAATGTCTTTTTTTTCCCACGTAATTTTCCTAAATTCCAGTTCTGAGCTTCAGGATATTGGTTCGACTGCCACGCCCTTGAACACTTGTCTGCAGTGGGGTGCATGGGAAAATTTCACCCCACCCCCCGGTCTGCGGAGGTAATAAAAAAAAGAATGGTCAATCGATGGGTTTTCGTAAGTCGTGATCTCGCTTCCGTGAGCCGCACCAACTCCGCCGCGAGAGTTCACCTCGCAGCAATCTACTCATGGGTGGCGCAAAAGTCAACTGACATTGGTGAGCAGATCGCCAAAAAACGCAACAAATGGAATATGGTGGGGGGGTGGTTGGGGGGGGGGGCTTTACATTACAGACGTCTTGCCAGTCTAATTA